AGGCTTTAAATATGCCTCTCTGCGGTTAAATCATGACTTCTGACCCCAAAACGTGCGTGTGCGTGAATGATGTGACGTCACACGCATGTAAGTACCATTTTTGTTAAGGGCAATAGGATATTTGTTATAATTTTTGGGACCGCAGAGGCCGGCGTCTCTAAGAACACCGCACCGGCTGGGCAACGTCGGGCAATCCGCTGCGATCCAGGCAAATCTTTCCACTTTATGGCGCGACCGCTCTGCTCAGTTGGGCGCAGATACAGTAACGGCGCGGCTCCACTGATCAGACAGTTGTCAGTTGTGTCAGTTGCAGCAGATGTTAGTAGTGTGCAGATGTTAAATGGACTCTTCAGACCCCTAATGCATTTCAGCTTATTGGAAAGCTTAAAGGAACACTAGTGACAGGAATACAAACATGTATTTCTGTCACTATAGCTGTAATAACACTATTTAGGTACCTGGCCCTCCTGTAAGTAATGTAAAAGGTAAGTTTTCTCACCTTTTTCCAGTGCCACACAAGTCTATCATGGCTGGCTCTGCCCCAGATCTGCATTCCTGGCTGAGATAGTCAAATTTGCTTTAACACTGGAAAGCATTAAAAGGTGGCAAGCGTGGCAAACGCTGCACTGCGTCAATCATTGAAACAGTGAATTTCCTCAATGAATTAATGCATCTCTATGGAGAACATTCAGTGCCTCATGCAGCGTTTCCATTCAGAGCTCCTACAGGTGTCCTTTTCTCTGAAAAGGCAGCTTTTACATTAACATTCCTGCAGGGACAGGCAGTAGACCAGGGATGTATTTACCACAAGGCAAACAAGGCATTTGCCTAGGGCGGCACTTTCGGGGGGGCGCCAAAAATGCCACCCCAAGCTCCCAGGCAAATGCCTTGCTTGCCTTGTGTTCTGGGGCTGTCCACCTTACTGTGAATGAGTGTACCTGTCAGTGTGTGTCTGTGAGTGAGTGAAAGTGTGTGTCTTTCAGTGAGAATGGGTGTGCCTGTGAGTGCGTGTCATTGTGTGTATGTCATTTTATGTGTATCTGAGAGCATAAGCGTGCACAGAGGGTGAGCCGGGTGTGCCTGGGCACACCCTAATCCCCGCGGCACGCGCTATGTGCCTCCCTCCGTGGGCAGGTGAGGGAGAGCAAAGATCTCCCTCACCTAACCACAGGCATGGAGGGAGGCAGGAGAGGACCCGGGGAGCTCTTGCCAACAGCTCCACCGTGTTCCTCTTGCGAGGTCGGAGTGTTGCCACAGTTACCGCAGCAACGCTCAGATCTCGCAAGAGTGGACTCTAGACCGCTGTGGGGCTAGAGTTCACTCTCCACTGGACCACCAGGGATGGCAGGAGCACGGTTGCCCCTCCCTACATAAGGTAAGAAGGGAGGGGGGATATTAACTAAACGGCCCCCACACCCCACACATTACACACAAACAGCACACATACACATACATTACCCTTACACACACAGCACCCACACTAACAGCACTCTCACACTAACAACACCCTTGCACACACAGCACCCTCACACATACAGCACCCTTACACACACAAAGCACACACTAACAGCACCCTTACACACAGCACCCTTACACACACACAGCACACACTAATAGCACCCTTACACACACACACAGCACATACTAACAGCACCCTTACACACACACACTAACAGCACCCTTACACATACACACACACAGCACACACTAACAACACCCTTACACACACAGAGAGAGTGTGTGCCTGTCAGTGAGTGGGTGTGTCAGTGTTTGTCTGTCAGTGAAAGTGTATGTTGGTTAAACAGTGTGTGCTTGTGAGTGTATGTGTGTGCCAATGACTGTGTATCTGTCAGTGAGTGTATACCAATGAGGGCATGTGTCTGTCAGTCAAAAAAGTGCCTTTGACACGAATTGGGGGGTCAAATTTAGATTTTGGGGGTCCCCGAATTTAGTTGTGCCCAGGGCAGCACAAATCCAAAATACACCACTGCAGTAGACACCAGAACACTAAGCTATAGTTTTCTTTTGACCTTAGTGTCTCTATAATGTGTAAAGAGTGTGTCCTATTTTATTTTTTTACATTTTGCAAAAAGTGCAGATTTCAATAGAAATTGACACTTTTATAAATTAACCTGGTTACACCCCCTGGCTTTCAAGCATACAACAAGCCCTATTGCGTCCTGGTTTGGTTAGTTCAGTGGAGCTAAACTCAAGAAGCAGCAATTGCTCAGAGCACCTGGATTGCAAAGACTTCTCATTGAGCTGCATTGAATGCATGCAAGTTTTCATTTTGTGTTAAATATGTTTATTGGTTTCATAACATATTCCAATGCAAACGTATTATTGTTAATGCGGGTTAGTGCCTGCGCAGAGGCCTGGTTATCTGTGCATGAATGGATTCACAGGTTGTTGCCTGCGCAGAGGCTCTTCAATCATGTCAATTGTTGTACAGCATTTAATATAGTATCATATTCGAGCGTGCTCTCTCTAGGTGCCTGTAGGCTGTAATAAGATAAGCGGGTAAATTAAGGCAGATAAACTAAGAATCGTTAATAAACAGAACAGTATGAAAGCATTATCTCTTGCAATTTTTGCATCATAAACAGCGTGGGCGTAGTTAACACATTATATCATGCTGTTGCCTTATGGCCACGTTAAGACTTAGTTGTTTGTCATGTAACAGCGCTTAAACAGTCACGGTGCAGGCATGCAATAATAAAAGAGGCGTAATGGTTAAGAATCAACATCAATAAACATAGTAATATAAGAGCAGGCTGGTAGTAACTCTTAGGGTGTCGCCCTAGAGGCGTCTAAATATGATGTTCATTAAAGGAGTTATTTTCAGAGAGTCGGGAGCTAAATGTTCCATCTAATCATTGTGTGTAACTCCGTATGTGGTTTGGGTTATATAATGCAGTTGGTCAGGATCCTTTTGCGTGTCGATATAACATGGCATTAACATAGTATTAATTAGTATAGGCATGTGTGCCCACAGTACCTCCTGACATGTAGGTAGAAGCAGGCCCTTACGCCTGCGGTCAGCTGTCGTGGGTGTAATATGGTACGTAGGGACTTTAGTAAAGATTTATATGCGGAAACCAGTAACTCGTTTCTAAAGCCCACTGAGGCAGTGTACCCTAACATACTTATTCAGTTGTCGGCTTAGTTATGTACATGAGTATAGTCGTTGTATTACTTATCAGTCTGATACTAGCCGTATCTATTGGTGCAGTGTGTATGCTGTGTCGTGAAGCTAGGGTCTTGGGCATGGGGCTGGATATCTAATAATGTTGCAATTCAGTTATTAAACAAGCCCTAATTAACGGCATTAGACTTATGCCCTCGGGGACTCTTTAGCATAAGATGTCATCCTGTGTGACAGTCCCAGGTCTCATATGCCTCCGCTACAGCACAGTCCCATCGTCGCCGAACCTCCTTCCTTCTTCTCCCCACCAACTCCAGTCCACTGGCTGGGTCCTCCGCGGTGCCGTGGGCACTCAAGGGCTGGTGCTGTCCACTTGACCCTGTAACCGTGTGTGGTTCCCTTATTTACCACTATAATGTCTTAAAGCATAGAACTTAGTAGGGCTAACCATACAGATATCTTAGCCATAATTTTATATAGTGTAAGAGATCCTCTATTTAACATATATAAATAATTGAGAATACAATATAAAATAAGGATTGTCTTGGAAGCAAGATTGTCTTTTTGGATATTTATTATATAAAAATATAAAATCCATTATAGCAGAGTTTATAAGATTAAATTACATGCTTGCAAATATCATTAATAGGTTAACATACCCTTCTGAACATGTCATCATGTCAGCCTCTCTGTCATTTTAAGATGGAGCAGCGTCTGTCTCCAAGTCTCTCCTCTGTGTCTTAACATTTAAAAGTACACCTATTTATACCTTAGGTGTCTCCATTTTAGGTTACTGTAGTTCAAATATGAAAAAGTAACACTTCTTTTACTTTATTCAATTTAGGACCTCCCTTAATTTGGCAAACATACAAGGCCATAACTAAAGGGTGTATACGTCATGGAAATTTTCCTGACTTAGTTCAAGATGGCATCTTAAAGTCTGAATAGGTTATCTGTTGTTTATACTAAGTCGTAAGTGTACAGTCGTGGGAGATTCCATTTGGGGAAGTTTGGGGTTACCACAGTATATTGTGTACTGCAAGAGTCGTAGCATAGCCTTGAAGCTTGTTTATGCATTATTGTTATTGTAATTCGTCTGGGACAAAATGGCGCAAACATATTATGCACTGAGGTTATTGCTTAAAGAAACAGTTATGAAAAACAATGTTCCATGTCTAACACCTTGTCAGTTTGCAATATCTCTTAAAGACAAAGTACACAGTTTAAGAAATACAACATTTCATTCTAAAACTTGTAATATTTGCATTTGCCCGTAACACCCTCTCCATTAAACTGTGGGCATTGTAGCGCATTTCTTCCTTAAATTAGTAAACCAAAGTTCTCCAACTGTCTTTAGGTTTTTTATGCTCCCAGCATCTTAGATAATTGTTGTAACAGTAAAATATCCGTAGTGTGATCTTTGCCTGTAAAGGTGGTTGATTAAAATGAGCAAAGCTTTTGTCTGGGAAAGAATTGAAAAGAACACCAGGTCCCAGAGTAAGATATTCTTGGATGGATCCGGATACGAATTGTAATCCAAAGTTAAAAGTAGTAATTGTATTTGTAATTCAAAGTCTTTAAATGCCTGTAGAAGTTTACATTTTTTAGATACATTGCTGGAGGTTGTGTTTGTAGAATACCTGGGTATTTGTTGTATAGTATAGGTTGTAGAGTCCAGCCTTCCAAATATTTGGCTAGAATTGGTTGCAGATATTGAATCAGCATCATCTGTTATCACCGTGGTGATGGTGTTGGTATTTGTCTTTGCCTTTTGTCTCTGCTTTTTATTTTGTTTGTTTTTTCCATGAAACATTATGATGTGTATAGATTGGATACTCTCTGATATTCTTTTACGGAATAAATTAATTGACAGCATTTCCAAGACATTGTCTTAAGTGACATGGATCCCGTTATAGTAAATGTTATGTTGATACAGCAATCGAAGTGGATTCTCAGGAACACCTCTTTTTGCTGTATTGGAATCTTTGTAACATCTCAGTGATAGACAACTCACTGACATCAGGTGCTGTTGTGCAAAAAATGTTAACAGGTAAAATCTGTGGAAAAATCTTTACATTTGTTATACTTTGTATAATAATGATAGATGAAATAGTAACATAGTTAATCTTTCTAGTGTTTTTGTATTAGAGATAAACACCCTTGTATATGATTTAGATATATAAGGATAATTTGAAGCAGCAAAGTATTTACCGCCCTTGTTCACAATGGTATGTAAAATTACATTCTCTTTAAATGTTAAAATTCAAAAACTTTATTCCTTTATTCAAAAACTCTCAATATATTTAGAATAGTTGCTAATTGGAATTTCTTTGTCCTGTTAGGGAGAAGACAACTTATTCCCTAAGATATAATTAGTAAATATAATAACTACAGTTATTAGTGGCTTAAAATACCAGAAACACCCCAAAATTGTCTTCAAAACATTTTTTTTTTTTTTTTAAACCAAGATCTGACAGCCATTGTGGAAAGTTACATTCGTGAGATTGGATGCTTAACAATGTGAATCTTAATTGTTTAAGTGTATTTTTCAGTGGCTGTTGGATGTAGCTTAAGATGATTAGAATTTTTATTATTTCTAAAAGTGAGTTAAGAAAGCACTCCGATACAATATTGAATGTATTTATATTTTAACTCTACCTTTGTATAGGTGGTTTATGTACCTTTAACCATTACAAACCAAATTACATTTTCTTTGTATTTGAAAAACTGATAAAATATTTGATTACGTGTATTTTAATATATATACATAGAGTGGTATGGATGTTGAATTTATATCTTTGACATCTTTTCACCAGTTTGCAATAGGTGACCTAAATGATCAATTTCCAAAATCATCATGTATATCACCTGGATGGGTTAATCCCTAATACTCTTTTACTTTCCCTTGACTGGCCTTGGCTCTGGCAGACTGAATATTTTTATCATTAAAAATAAACTTTATGATAGTTGAAGTAAAGTTTCTGCCTGTCTTTCAGTTAAATTTTAATTGTTGAAGTATTTCACTTATATTAATTATACCACTCTGCAAACTTAAACGAATATCGAGTAGTTTCTGTTTTAATAAAAACATTTTATATTTTCTTCTAAAGTTTAAACCTTATTCATTATTGCAGTTGTTATTGCAATCATATGATCTTTAACTATCATGATTCAATTATTTATCTGGGTAATTAGCTGTTATGCTCTTATACGTATGTTTAATATATTTGTTTGTAGGCCAGACTGCAGCTGCATATGGCATTTTAGCAATAATCTTCAATTGCGTTTCAGATATTCACAAAGTCTATCCACCTTTGTAATTAACACATTATGTGTTTCTTATACCATTAATTATAGTATCTCTATTATATTACACATTATCACTGACACATTTCTGATACAGGGAAAAAAATGGCATGATTGCTTTAGTAATTATAATTTTTCTGTCCATGCACCACATTCCTGGAAGTCCAGAATATAGCAAGAATCCTTTGTCGTTTGATTCTATGGAGCCATTTAACGTTTTGATTGGTATAGTTATACCAAAAGAGCAAGGAGTACGACGGTAGATCACATCTGCAACAGAACCATTACATATTCTTTGTTGTATCAATGTCTCTGTGTTTATGTTTACAGGAGGTCCTTGCTTTGCAGGTATGTACATAATATGTAGAGTTTTAGAAAAGCTGCAAATCGTGCTTTAATACAAGTGTCCCGTGATGTCAGGTTTCTGAAAGATTTTGCTGGTCTTTTTATATTCCATTCTCTTGGCAGGGCATCTGCTCTTAGTAAGCCGGTATTGTTATGATTTATTAATTGCATCAAGGTTTCTTTTGTTAATTGATGTGTTTCTACCAAATTCAAATTCATATGCCACCAAATGTCATTGTAAAGTTCATTGTTACAGAATATGGTTCAAGGATGGTTTTTCACTCCAGTAGGAAATCTATATTCCTCTTCTTCTGCTCCTTCCTATAAACCACTTTTTCTGAGTTGTAGGCAACAATCTGTGTCTTGTACTGTGAGGTGCTTTGATAGTCAATCAGGTTTTCTCAGTACCATGTTCCATCTTAAGAAATAGCTGGGTTTTGACAGTTATCAGCCTTTATTTCTTTTTCAGTCATCTTCTGTCTGGATAATAGCAATGTCCAGAATTAGCATAGCACTTCTTTTCAGCATAAGAAGGCTGTTTGCGGTAGTCATTCAATGATAAACTATATGGCAAAGTCTTTTCTTGCATCACCTTCATAGGTGCATCCAAAGCATCTGTCCCATCTTTTTCTGATTTCAGCATGCTTTGCCATCATCGTTGATTCCATTATTAGGATTTGTAATAGTCCAATCACATCTTTCTCATGTATAATCGGTTTTTGGAATGATCTCAATAGGTTCCTTGTGAAATATCAGTGTAGGCAATCATTTCACTGTGAGCTGTGTCTCTCCTTTTGGGATGGTTCTTGGAGGTAGTCCTCACGATCACAGAACTTGTATAGTGTGCAGTCCAATTCAGTTCAGGTGCTTCCTGCTTGTTAACATAATCCCAATGCAGTTTTAAAACGACAGCTAGGGTTGATGTTATGATAATGCTGCAGATTGTAAGAAGGAGACTCCAATTTTCTAGCATCCTTTTGCTTCCATCTTTGAATTTCTTTCTTACTGTATAAGATAATTCAGGTTCAGTCTGTTTTCTCCAGAGTCTTTCTTATAATGATGTTGATGATTCATTTTTCATACATTCCATGTTAACTGTGAATGTATCACGTCTGTCTGTTCATCCTTCTCCTTCACATTTGCAGGTTCAGATGTCAGATCATGATTCAGTCTGTCTATGATTCTGGTGGCTTTTCTGTCGTCCTCTGTTTGTTTTATCTTGCCATCTTTAACAGCATCCATTGTATCAGTCAGTGGTTCTGTGAATGTCCTGTTAATATTTAGCAGGTTGTAAAATATCAAAACTTACTGTTCTCTGTTGGGTCTGATTGTTCTCTGTAGTAAAAGTTCTTGGTATCACCCTCTCCAGGACAAACTGGCCAACAGAAGGAAATAGGTGGTGGTGCAAGGCGAGGTGGACTGGAAAAAAAAAAATTCCCTAAATTTCTCTAATAGAACCAATGGTTCTAAGCTCTCCCTGGTGCAGAAATATGTTTGTCAGTGAAAAACATGTAACATTTCATATGGTGTCTCACCATTTGTATCATCAGGTATGTTGTGAATGCTTATCTGTACCATAGGAATAAATAGATACCACTGTGTGGGGCAAGCAACTAGTAACTTGGTTAATAATCATTTAACCTCAGCATTCTCCCAGACCACAACCCCACATCTTTGGGGGTGGTTGGGGCACTGAAATCCCAAAGTAACCCAAATGTGGTTGCCCAGTTTTAGGTTTCCTTTGCAGTAACTGCAGGACCACCATCCAAATGGATGGTCCTGGGATTATCAAATGCATACTAAGGAAGTGAGACTAGAAAACGTGGCATCAGAGGTTGCACTTCGCACAGGATATATCCAAGTAAACCTGGTACATGCATCAACACATACAAAAACATATTTATAACCATGAGATGTTGGCAAACTTTCAATATATAGTAATTCAAAAGTATGTTGGATATTAATATTTCAATAAACAATACATCAGTAATGTGGCAATAAGCAAATGCTTATGATTACTAAACACATGAATTACAGTATTTCCCATATTGGACCACCAATATTCCTTTTCAGGAGTCAGAAGTACATTACCTCTCTCTATAAGAGCTTGTCCTAGCCATGAAAAAGCTTTTAGGGCAAGTCCATCTTTCCTCTATAGGAAGAACAACCAACGTATTACCTTCAATGGTTATTATGTAATTAACCCCTCTAAACGATAGGAGTATTTATGCGGATACCAGGTGGATAAGGTCTGGATATCCTTGCAAGCATAAACTCTGCATCATGACTGAGAGATAGGGTATGCGATGTGATCCAGTGACCACAGAAAAGCGTTGGTAGACACATTGCATCAAAGTGCCTGTTAATGACCAACTACATGAGGAGAGGGCCCATGCTTTGTTATAAGCATGTCCATACACGTATTACAATGCCAGGCTTTCAATTTGTTACCACAAAGCAAAATGCAGTTGTGGATATAAACTCACGACGTATCGTAAGAAAAACAGTTTGAACACCAGACTGAGACTCGAGATCAGTGAACAGTGGACCAAAAATAGATAAATGAAATCCTATCAATTAATATACTTTCAATATATTTTCTTTAAATTACTTTATCCTCTGTATTAACTATGAAATATTAAAGTTAAAACAATAACATTTAAAAGCCAACTTTTAGTGTGCATAGCAATTACAAGGCCGTTCATAATGTGAGATAAAGAACAGCTTTTTTTTTTTTTAAATCCGAATAGTCTGTGAACACAAAATGACCTTGCGCTGAAAACTCACTTGCAGGGTAAAACCAAAACCTTATTTTTTTCTTTTTTCTTTAGTAAGTTAATTAATTAAACGTAGTTAGAACCTCCCTCAAAGTCCCGATGACTTTGCAAGAAACATGTCGTCCTTAAATACTGGGTAAGTCTGTTAAACAGTGAAATAGCATTTTTACACTGTATTTCATGTTGTCACAGCTATAATGTGCAGTATAGCAAACTATTTATAAGTGTTGTGCAAACTGTTCATTAAAGGCCAGTGATCTAGCGAGATATAGAACATTTATTTTTTAAATCTCTGACCTCAATCGGCAAAGCAATATTGTAATGGTGTCCATTGCAATCTGCTGTCTTACTTGCTGCTCTTAAAAATTCTGAATATGTTCAGAGATTTCTTGGGCAATAATAAATCCCCCAAAACAACAACTTTGCATTTATGCTAAACCTGCCTGTTGTAAACGTATTCTGTATATTTCTTGACATAAGTACTTGTACTTAAATCTGTTTAACAAAGCTGTTTATATTGTGGTGTAAAATATATTTTTTATTATTATTATTTTTTTTATTTTTTTATTTTTTTTAACATTGCTTAATTTTTAAAGATACCTGCATATTTAATTAACTATCCTGTATATGTCTTTACTGCATAAAATATCTGCAAATTAAGATTATATACAAAAATGCATGTTCTGGTCTGTGATTCCTTTTCTATCATTTATTTATTTTAAGTCTGGAATCTGATTTCTTTTGGGATGAGCACCCCTCTGAGCCCCCCAGTTTCAGAGGCTT